TATATAATGCTTTTGGCAGTGTCGAGTGGTGTTGTTTTGGTTCGTTACATTGACCCGCACAAAAGACAACATCGCGCATGTTTAAAAGGAACGATAGGACGGCGCCACTTCCTTACACTTACAGTCCATCTGTGTTTCTGTCTGTCGTACTTTTCTCTACGTCACTGAATATAAGACCCTTTTGCTTCCAATGTACCTCTCATTGGCTTAAAATATTTCTGCTTACAATGGGTGGTTGGCGGGTGTTCTGGTGTGGTTTGCTTCTTCTTTCCGATTAAACATCTATCGTCCTTATCTCTCCTTTTTCTTTTTTATGTTTGCTACTCTCTTGTAACACCTCTAAACTTCTGGCGCTCATGTGACCTTATGCAGTTGCGAGCGCCGTAAAACATCTACTAAACTAACTTCCTGTGTACAGTGGTACGCCAGGACATGTCACAGACTCAGGTAAACAATACTTCCTCACATGCTCTTTACATTTTATTTATTTATTTAGTAGAGGTTTTAGGGCGCTCGCAAATGCATAAGGTCATATGAGCGCCATCATTACACTTCAAAACAAGCAAACATGTCCTGAAATGGAAAGGATGGTTTATTATATCATAAGGAACAAGAAAAAATGTTTATTACAATTAATTATATACCTCACACGAAAAAACCATTTTCAACAACAACAACAACAACAACAACAACAACAACAACAACAACAACAACAACTACAACAAAAGGTTAATTATTCTTACCAAACAATTGCAACATGAATAGGAGTGAGTAAACAGTCAGTTCAGAGAAATATATAACATAATAGAATATTTTAATTTTTTAATTTTTTTTTTACAAAAGATAGGAAAGGATAATGGACGTGAAGTGGAGAACCCAATTTTGACGCTTAGTATTTCAAGCCCGTAACCATGTCTTTTAGATTATTTAAGAGGCGGACAGCTTCGACTGTACCTGCTAGAGTCCGCAGTATCTATTCGGAGACGGCTCCGACGGAAATAGACCAATCAAAATGCTTTGTGCCTCTAGAACAAGTTTAAAAAAATCTGGGGGTTACAGAGTTTGCAGTTAAGTTTGAAATTTTCTTGAAAATAATTGATTTGCGACAGTTTTCGTGGCTTTATTATGTGTGATCTACAGCAAATAATACTCAGTTTGACCCACCAAAGCAGTGCGTTTGTGTGCGGGAGTGCGTCTCCGAATAGTTCCTGGGTGTTCGCCGGAGACGTCTCCGAATATCTTCTGCAGTTAGGGTCAACCCGGGCTGAGAGGGTTACAATGTTCCATCTGCTGCCAAAAAAGCCCTCCCCTTACGGGATTCGTGCTCACGTCTTCCGCATGCGGCTGCAAGGCGCCTCACAATTCCATAACCACAGACGCCGGTCCTGATTCTCAGACAGTATAAACACGTTGTTTTATGATCTAACCATGTTCCGTGTCAAGGAGAGACTACGGGTAGATCGACGTGTACTGTTACATTTCACGAGCAGAGTAAAGTGTTCTACTTGTGTTGTGCTTCAAAAAGTGGGATATTTATTTCTAGCACTCACACAATGATACAAATAACATGCATGCGACATAGATTCCATAGCATTACCTTATAACAAAATAACCTAACAATTTTTCTTCAAAATACACAGGTATTCAAAACTTACTTAGCCTAATCTGCACATCGCTGGTTTCTGCATTCCGTGGTGCCATATTAATTGGATCACCATGACATCATGCTGAAGAGACGATTTTAAGAATGGGAGAGTGTAAATTTAGAGCAATGGAGTAAAGAGTTACACATTGCTTTACTTTGTGTGATACGGCTCACGCTTCTTGTAAGTTCCTGACAAGTCTGTTGAACACTCTCCAGACTATCATCTCATTCTTTAAGAAGGGCTATGTTTAAATCATAGAGTATAAAAACTAATATAATATTTACATTAAAACGTCACTAAACTTAATTAAGTTGTTGGGGGTTTTTTTAAAGGTCATCACCGTCGGTCACAAGTTGCCGTAGGAAAAACGTCTTCTCCAGTATCGAGGCACTTGGTGTGTCCCTGAGAAAGGGAAGAAAAGAAAATGAAATCACAGTTAAAATTAAAGTCACAGTGCAAGTTACAATTAATCTGTCCCCGTCGTTTCATGCAAGAAAAATTCTGAAATTATGAAAAGTGAGCCCAAAAAATGTGAAATTATGCGATTCTGTTAATTTTGAAAAAGAATGATAAAGGAAAATAATCAGAAATTATGCAAAAAATGATCAAATTTTGCTAAATTATTCGGGGTGCATAAAACCACAGGGACAGATTAATTGTGTAGTCATGCAAAACTGAAGGCTCACACAGCACCACAATCAAGATCACGCACATGGTTAGTCAATTCTTTCTGGGTTACAGTATCTGTTCTTTGCGTGCGCGAGTGGTGTGTGTGTGTGTGTGTGTGTGTGTGTGTGTGTGTGTGTGTGTGTGTGTGTGTGTGTGTGTGTGTGTTTTTGTGTGTGTTTGTGTGTGTTTGTGTGTGTGTGTGTGAGTGTTTGTGTAAGAGAGTGTGCACGCGTGCGTGTGTGTGTGTGTGTGTGTGTGTGTGTTTGAGTGTGTGTGTGTGTGTGTGTGTGTGTGTATGTGTGTGTGTAAGAGAGTGTGCACGCGTGCGTGCGTGTGTGTGTGTGTGTGAGTGTGTGTGTGTGCGTTTGTGTGTGTGTGTGTGTGTTTGTGTGTGTTTGTGTAAGAGAGTGTGCACGCGTGCGTGCGTGCGTGCGTGCGTGCGTGCGTGCGTGTGTGTGTGCGTGCAAACGCAAGCAGGTGTGTGTAGGTTTTTTTGGGGGCCCCTCCCCCTTCTGGGATGTGGTAGGGTATGATTGCTTAGTGTTAATATTTGAATCAAAGCACCCACGTGCACGAATGTATTTTACATTGCTTCGAATTGGTTGGATGGCAGAAAGATTTAGTTCTGTAGGACTGACAACTGAAGTTTGGAACAGCGTATAGACTTCTAGACAGAATCATCTTGAGCTGTGGACCCTTGTGTCATGATGTTACGTCAAACTTCACGTTGTTTTTGTTTTTTTCATCGTTGATTTGATGCTAACATTTACCTGAACTTAAATAGTAGTTAAGTTTAGAAAAAAATAGATTAAAAAATAGATTTAAAAAATAGAAAAAAACATATGGTTAACAACACGAAATATTAAACGTGAACAGTCGAACCCGCTAAAGCAGCTACCTGTCCAAGACAATCACCTGTACAGACGACCACTTTCCACCCTCACTTTTTGCATTAATGAAAAAGAAAAAAATATTACGACAATGTCCACAAGAAGACCACCTGTCTAAATGTGAGACAGCGTGGTAGAATCAGGCTCTCATCAATTTTTGGGCATGTAAAGTTATTGGTATCATGTTAAAGCTTGTCCAATCGTCTTTATTTGGATGAAAAAAAATACAAGTCGAGATATTTGCGAAAGGAGGAGGAGGTCACCTGTTTTCAGAGGTAAAATAAGTGAGAAAATGGCCGCCAAAGATTCATTATTTCCTAAGTTTAAGAGTCCGTGGCAACTGAAAATTTACATTTTTTGTGCCTTTTATCAACGTTTTTCAGAAAAATTTCCACAGAAATGATTTTTTTAATAGGCAAGAAAGGTGTTGAGCCAAAAAACAAAAATTTGATAAAAATTCATAAACCTGCGGAAAAATGCAAGTTTCTTCACTTTAAAATTATTTTGACGAGAGCCTGATTCCACCACGCTGCCTCACAAATGATCACTTTTCTCCTCGACAATTGACGGTCGTCTTGGACAGGTTTTTTCGACTGTGTTTTACTTACTAATTCGTCTCCCGCAGTCTGGTCCTATGAAGCCTCTCGGACATGCGCAAACGTTTGGGTTGACACAAAGGCCACCATTTCTACACTGCAGGTAGCAAAGAGCTGTCAAATAGAAAATCATATCAATACATTCTGTACTGGAGTCATCTTTTGTCATTGGGAATGCAGGCGTCAGTGATGTAGCGGTTAGACGCTTCGCTGCCGCACGCAGATGACCTGAGTTCGAATCCGGAATGGGAAGACATTTTTATCGCCTGTCTTGGTCTTTCTGCTGGGATATTGAATCCCTCTTAGTCTGGGTTGGTCTTGGCAGGCAGGGTCGGAAGCTTGCACCCCAATAATCTAGATTGTGTTGAAGGAGCGTAAAACATATTCACTCAGAATTGCGAAACTGTTTTCCACACAAATTGTAAGATCACGCAGCGGCAGATATGTACCTCCAAAAACAAAGAAAGAAAGATATAAAAGAAGTTTTTTACCATCTAGCATAAGGCTTTTGTCAGAATGAGCATAGATGTGTGTTGCTCT